CTTCTATAGGTGTGGCCTGCTTTCCGGGTCCACTGGTGGAACCTCTTCTAACCGGTTCGGTAGATTTGACGAACCGGTTCTACCGAACTGGTGCGAACTGGTAGGAACCCACCTCTGTTCTAGGATCATAGTTTCCACAACGTTAGTGCTATGTATGAATATTCCATACAAATACTCTAAAGAACAAACAAATTCCAACAATATGAGCTAGGGAATCATGAGGCAAATAATCCCAGTGGAAACTATACAAGACAAATCCCTGCAGTCATCTAAAGGCCGAGTAGAACTCAGATTTCCAAAAGTTAATACCAAATTATATTTTTTAATGTGACGCAAGGGGAAAATAATATGTTGCTGGAGATTAACCTCATCCCACCCATTACTCCTTGGAATATGGCCATTCCACCCGTTCGATTCTGAAAAAGGTGTGCCTATCTAAAACTGAACACAGCTATCAGAAAAGGAAACAGGGTTTGCTCACCTATTGTGTAGTGATATGGTGTCAGAACATTATAGACAAAATATTTTTGGCTCCCTAAGAGGTCAATCATGCCAGCCTTCACTCTGTTGAAAAGATGAAGATCAACCTTGGATTCTAATGACTGACATCTAGTGTAAAAGGACTTGACTTGGTAGTCTAGCGGAAGCCAGGGCTTCTGTAAAGACAAAAGATGAAAATTTAAAACAGTTTTACGCCAAGTAGCTTCCTGCCAGTTAACCAAACAAATATGAACAAACATGCAATTAGTTTTTAAAAACCACCAATGAACTGACAACATAACAAGGTACACAATGATGAATAAGGGGGAGAAGCCACATCAAAGAAACCACCACATCAGTAGACCTATGAAATGGTATTAGCAGGCTCTTATTTTTCTCTCCAGTTAGTATAAAGCAGGGGTGTCAAACTCAAGGCCTGGGGCCCAGATCCTGCCTGCAGGGTGCTTAGCTCTGGCCCATCCTGGAAACAGCGAAGGACCAGCCCGCGGTGCCTCTGCCAGTGAAAATGGAGCTCTTGGGGGTCACAAACGGCTCTCGCGAGCTCAGTTTTTGCAGGCAGACGGTTGCAGAGGCTGTCCCAGCTGAAAGCTGAGCTAACAAGGGCCGTTGGTGGCCCCCAAGAGCTCCATTTTCGCTGGCAGAGTGTTGCAGGAGGTCATTCCAGCTAAAAACGGAGCTCAGGAGCCCATTTTCGCTGGCAGAGCATTCGGGCCACCACAGGTGCCCCTGACATGCGTGATTTCATGCTGCCCCCCCCCCCTCAGGTCAAACACAACACTGATGCGGCCCTCAATGAAATTGAGTTTGACACCCTTGGTATAAGGCAACATAACAGATTTTCCAGATGCAGATGTCATGCCCTGGAATGCTTCTTTTGCGTTCTTGCGCCAGCATGGAAGTGCTATAACGGGAGCAGAAGTTTCCCCCACTGGCATAAATCTATGTGAACACCTTCATCCTGTATATCTTAGGGCCAAAAACCCATAGGACTACATCCTAAAATGCCAGCAAAATTATTACAGCTGATATGGAGGATTACTAACAAGCAACATTAGTATATTTGTCCATTAGTATTATGAAACACTTATTAGTCTGAGTAAAAATGTACAGATGCCAGCATTTGCTTAACTATTAATATTAATCACCGTCAATAATATCATACCTTATAGTATGGACACTCCAGTTGAATTGTTAAAATCAGCTGACTCAACTGAGAAAAAATCTTCGGTCTTGGACTTTTAGCTAAGATGTAAACAATCAGAAAGACACATCATCACACAGCAACGTAAAGTTGGTGATTGATTTATTTCATTTATTCACTAGTATTTATATGCCACTCCAACCAACAAACAATTCTTGAGTGGTTTACATTCCCTTACAAAGCTAAACCATCATTCCCATCATTAAATAACATAAGAATTGTAGGTCCTCTGTTGTGGCCCAGCAGGAGCCGTTGGAGCTGCCACCAGCCTCCGACAGCGAGGGGCCCTATGAGTCGGCTCTGGACGATCTGGAGGACCCTGGACAGGGTTCCGACTCCGAGCAGGGCGCAGAGAGGTCACCAGGAGGCGCCTGAGCCTTGGACCAGTGGGGAGGAGACAAGGGAGTGTGATCGTGAC